CAATGCTTGACCTCTATGTTGGAGTAAGTGAGCGGGTTATAAATAATGCATGGTACTTGTGAGTCAAATCTTGAGGCTAGGATGTTACACTATTGTGCTTATTTATGTTAATTATTCTTGGTATGATGAGTTAGGAGAGTTGTTTAAAAAGGTCGAGTCTTTATAAAGTGTAGTTTGGTTGCTCGAGGACGAGCAATGGTTTAAGTGTGGGGTGTTGATGGTAGACTATAATCTCGTGTTTTAGTCGCTTATTGCACTCAAATTTACTGCACTTTAATTGAGTTGAGCTTTAATCGGTACTTTTTTGCACTAATTATGTGTCTTATGCCTCGTAGGAGGATTCCAAGCTATATAGATGTTACAGAATGAATTAGAGTGATTTGGAGCTTTGATGTCTGAGTAAAAGCCCAAGGGCTTAAGCCGGGATCGCGTTCGGGGGTTGAAAACCACATCTGGATATCAAAAAGTCAAGAAATATCCGTACTATGAGAAAATAACACACCCGCGGTGCGTGGCGCACCGTTCTTGTACAAAAGTCCCGCTTCCTGTCAGAACTAGCTCTCTGGATTTCCCCACTAATGCCCCATGCAGCGCGTCTATACAAAATTTACAGAGCAATTCTCCTATTTCACGCAGGAAAAGGTATTTTCCTTTGGGCCAGACCCTACTTGGTATATATACATGAAAAAATGTTATTTTCTGGACTTTTGACACATTTAAGACCTAAGGAGGCTAAGGAGAAGGTGGAGAAGAAAAAGCACAAGGGGTTCATCATTCAATCCTCACTCAAGACACGAGTTTGGATCGTTTTATGTTTTCCTTTACTTTAAACATATTTGTGATGAATTACTCCATATCTATGGAGTAGTTCTCTTTAGAGTTTGATGGATTTGGTGTATTGATATTTGTTTGCAGATTATAACTCTAGGTTTTATGTATTAAATCGTTTTGGATATTTTAATAGTTGCATCTATATTCACATTTTCATGTAATCGAGAGAGGCATAACTTTTGATATCTTTACATTATCTTGTTGGTTGAATTCATTAATTCCTCTTAGTAATTGAAAGAGGCTAGTTGAATTGTTGATTAAACCTAGTTAGGAGAATAAACGAAAGAGGTTCTCCTAAAGACCAATCCACTACGAAGTCGTGCATATCTTCACCGAGCTTAAATTGGTTCATCATATTGTGAGGTTGAGACTTAATCGAGAGAAGGGTTTCTACTAAATGTTTGAACTAATAATTGAGTGAATTCAAGAGACTCACTTGAACATTAGAAGTGAATTACTAGAGTTAAATTCCACACATTTATCTTGCAACTATCCACTCAATCCCTATTTTTTCTCATTGATATCTTCCTTGCTTACTTTTGTTTCGATTGTCACTCGTCAATCAAATTTAGATTCTTAGTTAATTTTAGTTTTTAATCACATAATTCTAAATTGTTGATTATCATGGATAGCAATCTAGCTACAAACTACGATAATACTGTTTAACTCCATTCCCTATGGATACAATATTATATTATACTATATTCGTCTAGCGAGCATATTTAAGTATGTAATTTGTGCTCGACATAACCCCATCCCAACTGGAAAATGTTCCGAGTTTCCTCCCACCGTCCTCGCCCGAGTCTTAGCTCCATCACACATGTCCTTAATCAATCTAATGTACTCTACAGGAACACCTCTAGCCTCGAAGCATCTCCAGAGGACCTCCCGAGGGACCTTGTCGTACGCTTTCTCTAGGTCAATAAACACCATATGCAAATCTTTCTTCCTATCCCTATACCGTTTCACCAAACTACTAACAAGATGGATGGCTTCCGTTGTCGAACATCCCAGCATGAAACTGTAAGGCCCCGTAAAATTTTGTAGAGGAAAAATAATATTTTGTGGTGCCTAACTGGGCTTACGTATTTGAAGATTGTATAAATTCTTCACGGCGAGCAAGCTCACCGCGGCTAGGACCTTTTGGGTTTAACAATGCACTGGAAAGTAAAGGAAAAATTTGGGCAGAAGAAATGCACTTCTGCGGTCCACTATGCGGCCACAGAATCACTCTGCGGACCACATAATGGCCGCAGAGTGAGGCAGGCAACTGGGCCATTTTTGAGGTCATTTCGTGGTCCATTATGCGACCGCAAAACAAGTTCGCAGGCCGCACATTGATCGCATAATCAACCTTGGGATTTTGCGAAGGGAGGTTTTGCAGCGCGTTATGCGACCGCAGAACAGGTCTGCGGTGCATTATGAGACCGCAAAACTGGTCTGTGGACCGCATAACGGCCGTAAAGTGAAGCATACCAGCCCATTTCCGGAAGGCCATTTCGCGGACCACATAAACATTATGCGGTCACATATGCGACCGCAGATCCTGTTCCAGGGAATATTTTTGGATTTTTATAACCCGACCCCACTTCGTTATATACACGCAAAGGATCATTTTGAGCAAAACTTATGATGTTTTAGAGAGAAGGGAGAGTGTTTTAGAGAGAGAGAAAACCCTAGGCTAATTTTCATCAATCTTTGCTCAAATCTTGGAAGATTAACAAGGATAACCCACAAGGTCTTCATCCTAAAGGTAAGATTTTACACCCTAACCCTCAATTTCGAATTTTGTCTAGAATTGGGTAATTAGTAAGATAATATTTGGGCATGAGAGTTGTTCATCTTACATGCATGTGTTATCAAAGGGTGTAAGAAGACTGTTGAGCTAAGAATGGTAAAGAATGGGTTGTGGGATGATGGAATCCTCCATGAAAGGATATTGAAACCTTAATGCACACCTAGTGTTTAATAAAATGCTCAAATGAGCTAGAACCATGATCATCCTCCTAATTTTGGTTCAATTTGTTATATTTCTAAATTAGATCGAAGTTGCTAAGAATTCTGAAACGTTTTGGAGTTTAAGGAAGCTTTATTGAGGTATGTTGGCTAAACTCTTCTCTTAGAATTGAATCCCACGATATTCATGTAATTTATGTAAGTCCTGAGTGGTTCATTATAAAATTGGCTATTTCGAATAAGTTTGTGTTGAAAGCTATATGTTCAATATGTATACCAAATGCTATTATCATGTCATGTTATCATTTGAGAATGGGTTCAAGTATGGGCTGTGCATTGATAATGTTTTGACTTCAAGTCAAATTCAAACGAAGGCTATTATGCCAAATTTTGTGAAATATCTCTATGTGCCTAAGACTCTTAATTTCTCACGTGTACTACAAAACTTGAATTGAATTGTAATTATTGTTGTTGTTGATGATGATGATGTTTGAAATTGAAAAGGGTGAGCATGAAATACTAAAAGCGGCCAACATGCCAAGAATGATTTTATAATTTTGGCTACTAGTGCCAATGAAATGAAAAGATGTGAAAGAAGTATGAAATATGATGATTGATATAAAAGGGTTGATGCCTCGAATAAGATAGCCTAGACGATCGGGTCGTGATCGGATACCATGCCGCACACATGGTGGTGATTGTACTGGAAATTATAATCGAAATTGTTATTGTTGTTGATGTATCGGGTCGTGATCAGACTCCGTGCTAAAGGTACGGTGGTATTGGTATTGAAAGTGATTGTGGTTGATGTCCTTAATGAGATGGCCTAGCCGATCAGGTCGTGATTGAACTCTATGCTAAAAGTACAGTGGTATTGGTATTGTGAATATTGGAATCGTGAATGGTGGCATATTGGTACTAGAGACCCCCCGACTTAAAATATGGAAATTTATTTGAGGTTTGATGTTGTTTGAAAATTCCATTGATATTATGGTTATACTACTCGTATTATTTATCATTCTATTGAGAGGGTGTTTTGTCATTCATACTAGTACTATTCAATATGTAATAACGTCCCTTTTGCCGGAGGCGCTGCATCTTCAATGGATGCAGGTGGTTCCACAGCAGGTGACACTGATCAGTGATAGTGGGACACCCTCTTCCTAGCAGACTTGGTGAGCCCAACTTCATTGGTCATGTATCTTTTGTTCCTTATGTATTGTGTTTGAGGTATAGCTGGGGCCTTGTTGTCGGCATTACCATAGTACTCTTCTGTATCTATAGAGGCTTTGTAGACATAGTGTAGGTTGTGTATTGGTTCTGGGAAAGTCAATTGGTATTACTTGTTCCATTTGAGACTTTAAAAATAATGAAACTATTGGTAATGAATTGGTATTGTAGACATGATCACCTTTTTGTCTAATTAATGAAAATATGTATTATCTCCATTCATGGATGAGTTTGGGTAGAAGAAAATCTAACAGACTTGCTCAGTTGGGTTCACACGGTTGAGCGCCAGTCGCGCTCCCTGATTTCTGGGCATGACAAAAACCGAACTGGTTCTCAGAAATAGACATCGTCTTTCTAACCCTCGCTTCTACCACCCTTTCCCATACTTTCATAGTGTGACTATGCAACTTGATACCCCTATAATTGTTGCAATTTTGGATATCTCCTTTATTCTTGTACAACGGGATCATCGTACTCCACCTCCACTCCTCGGGCATCTTCTTCGTCCTAAATATAACGTTAAATAACCCAGTTAGCCAATCCAATCTAGCCATACCCGCATACCTCCAAAATTCAACTGGGATCTCATCTGGCTTAGTCCCTCTTCCCCTTCTCATCTTATGCACCGCCACTGCGACCTCCCCGAAACCAAAGCACCTACAGTACCTAAAATCACAATGCCTCTCGGAGTGCTCCAACTCGCCTAGCATAATGCTCGTATTCCCCTCTATGTTCAAGAGTTCATGGAAGTAAGTCTGCCACCTTTGCTTAATATGTGCCTCCTCCATTAAAACTCTGTCATTCTTCTCTTTGATGCACCTCACTTGGTCCAGATCACGAGTCTTCCTCTCCCTCGCCTTAGCCAGCCAAAACAACTTTATGCTCCCACCTTTGTCCCTCCGTTCTTCATACAAATGAGAAAATGCTGTAGTCTTAGCCTCCGTGACCGCCAACTCCGCCTCCTTCTTAGTCTTCTTATACCCTTATCTTATGTTCCTCTTCTTCCCCTCGTCCGTGCTCTCTACTAACTTCAAATATGCTGCTTTCTTGGCTTCTACTTTCCTTTGGACCTCCTCATTCCACCACCAGTCTCCTTTGTGGCCTCCAATATAACCTTTAGAGACCCCTAACACCTCTCTCGTAGCCTCCTTAATGTTGTCCACCATCTTCGACCATATACTACTCGCATCCCCACTACTCATCCAAGCCCCTACAACCAACAACTTGTCTTGCAACTCCTGAGCCTTGTCCTTAATCAGAGCTCCCCACCCGATCTTTGGTCGACCACACCTAACCCTCTTCTTCCTCTTTAGCACGATGTCTAAGTCCATCACCGAAAGCCTATGCTGGGTCATGAGGTTCTGACTCAGAATTACCTTACAGTCAGTACACAGACCTTTATCACACCTCCGGAGAAGGAAATAGTCGATTTTGGGTCTTGGCAGTCCTGCTCTTGATGGTAACCAAGTGCTCCTCCCTCTTCTAAAAACTCGAGTTTGCTATCACCAAATCAGATGCCTTAGCGAAATCTAACAGTGACGTACCTCCTCCGTTTCTGACCCCAAAGCCAAAGCCACCATGCACCTCATCATAGCCCCCATCAGACCTTCCAATATGCCCATTAAAAACCCCTCCTATGAATATCCTTTCAGTGGACAGAATACCACGCACAACCTTATCCAAACCTTCCCAAAAATGCCTTTTAACCTTCTCATCCAGGCCCACTTAGGGTGCATAAACGCTAATAACATTCAAAGTACACCCTCCAACCACTAATTTAATAGCCATCAGCCTATCATTCATCCTCCTAATCTCTACCACTAGCTCCCTGAGATCCTTGTCCACCTAGATGCCCACTTCGTTCCTACCCCTCTTACCTCATGAGTGCCACAGTTTAAACTCGTCCGCTTCCCGCGCCTTAGACCCTACCCACCTAGTCTCTTGGACAGAAGCTATATTAATCTTTTTCTTCTGGAGAATCTTAGCTAATTCTATAGACTTCCCTGTCAAAGTCCCTATGTTCCAAGATCCAATTCTCAACCTAATAGCTCCCTTATGCCCCTTACCACCCTTTCCCCCTACCCCATCTCCTGCCCCATGCCACACTCCCCTACTTACCCGAGGACACGTCCTTAATCCACCATCCTCCCTCACATCCACAATAACCTACGGTATACTAAAGGCCATAAACTAATAAGATAATTTTCAACCACCAGACCTCAACCATGCTAACACAATAAGCACCCTGATAAGTTTAAACGAGCACGAAAACAACTTAAATAACACGAAAGAAAGGAGTACATGAGGTACCAACTCCTGAGGATAGAACCTGGAGTGGAGTCTTGAAGTACACAACGTTGTTGCGGCACGTGATGCAGCTACGTCGAACTTCCCTCGGAACCTTACGGATGCTCGCCCTTTCTATTCTGCTATGTTTTGTACACGTGTGTGTTGCTTGTCCCCCATAGCCACCGAATATTACCTGAATAACCCACAAAACACCACGGAACCAAAAAATAAATTGCAGGGGGGCTGCCACCACTACTACTGGTGATTTGAATCCCTAACCGAAGTAGAGAAGAGAAAAAGACGAGAACAGGAAGAGAAAAACAGCAGGGGGAAAGAGCAGATTTGCACGCAAGTAATGTATTAGGAAAACAATAGAAGGGAGAGGGGACAACGGTCACTGGAATAATCTCCGGTAGTCACCGATGACTACTGTTAGGGTTAGAGAAATGGGGAGGAGAGAAGAAAGAGGAGAGAGAAGGGAGTGGTAGAAGAGAGAAAGAGAGAGGACAACAATCGCCAGAATTATCGCCAGTAGAGCAGCAGTCGCAAACGGCTACTGTTATGGTTGGGGAAGTGGGGAGGAGAGAAGACAAAGGAGAGATAAAGGAGCGGAAGAAAAGAGAGAGGGCAAGAGAGGGAGATAGAGAGGAGATATGGTCGGAAAACTTACCTGGTGGGTTGGGTGGTCGTCGACGTAGGTGCTGTAAGATGCCCGGTCTAAAGGTGGCCGTTGGATTTCAGTCGAATAGAGTGAGAATTCGGGGAAAGAGAGAGAAGCTCATGGGTAATGTTTATCTTCGATAAATTTGAAAATCCGGGCACGTGGGCTCGGGGATCGACTTTGTTGACTTTTTCTAGCGCAGTTGGGAATTATTATAAATTGTTAATTTATGAGTATTGGAGTATATTTTGATCGGTTTTAATGTTGTTTAATTAGTTTCAGATCGTTTGGCATTGGTTTGATGTATTAGAGAGGTGTTGGAGCCGATTATCGGATTTAAGATCGAGGTAAGTCTCTTGTCTAACCCTGTGAGGGGGAATTTACCCCGTAGGTGTTATATTTTGTATGTGCTACATGTTGTGGGAGCTAGGCATATATGAGGTGATGAGTGTCCATGCGTATGCTAGAATTCCTGATAATTTCCGGGTAGACTTAGACTCACGCAATACTTTAATTGTACTATTTGAGTTATTCTTGCATGTTTAAATGCATTAATTCACATTATAGCCTGAGACTAGAATCGTGTAGAGTAATGGATATGGTATTTTAGATACTTGACGAGCTACTTGATTAGTTGTGGAAATTGTACTTCCCTTACGGATTTCTCTTGTGTTGTGCGAATTCGTCGTAAGTTTTCTTGAAATTCACAACTCACATGTATATTTCATGATTGGGGTCAAGGACCCATTAATGTTTCATATTCTAATGGGATCGGGCTGAACACCTCAACAATACTCTTATGGGATCGGTCTGTTCTCCTTGGTAGGATATTGTAACACACTCTTATGGGATTGGGCCATTCGCCTCGGCAATTCTACGAAATACTCTTATAGGATCGGGCCGCTTGCCTCGGCAGAATCGTGCGTAATGTTCGATAAGAAGTCAGTGTACCCATGAGTTTTCTTACTTCAGATGTGAACTTTTACCTGGTGTTGATCATTATGTATTCCATTCGAGGTACTATCTGATATACGAGGACTTTGAGTTTACTATTCAGTTGAGGATCGTATTATGTACCTATATTTATTTTCACTGTTTACTTACCATACTTCGTGCTTGTCTATGTTTTATTGTACTTGATATATTGGGCCACTGGTAAGTGTTGATATCGACCCCTCGTCACTACTTCTTTGGGTTAGGCTCGATAATTATTGGGTGCGCATTGATTTAGGTACTTATACTACACTTCCTCACTTATTGTTCATGTATATATTTCGGATGGTCACTTGGTCGCAAAGGTGCAACTATTACGGGGATTTTACGTTGAGTTGCATCCTATGTTATGATCTGCAGCACATAGAGTCTCCTTCATATTCATTTATGTTATCATGTATATTTTATATTCCAGACATATGTTGTTGTAGTATTGTATTTACTAGTAGATGCTCATGCACTTGTGACATCGGGTTTTTGGAAATTTCAGTAGATGTTTATGGTTTTGTTAAATATTATCACCCTTTTAGTTTATATCCTACTAATATTGTATGTATCCATGATTTCCAATGCATTAATTTCTTTATTTAATAAAAAATTCATGACTTCAAAAGTAATAAAATGATTTATTATGTTGGTAGTTAACTGTTGGCTTGCCTAATGGTGACGTTGGACACTATCATGACCTATAGCGGGAATTGGGTCATGACATCATCCTTAACGCCGCATGAGCTTGACATTTTAAAAATAATTTTCCCGAAATAGCTTCACGCACATAAGCCCCCTTATCTCGCCGCGTGTGCTTTACATATAAGTATTTCCCCTTACTAGCAACACGTACATAAATCCCCTTTACCTTGCCGTATGCGCGTCAATCCACACCACCCTTATGCCGCTGCATGTGCATCTCAATCACAACACAACAATCATCTCACACCTCACGTGCATATACACCATAACATTGCACAAACAACAACACCAAACCAGCAACAAAATATAGCCCATGGCTCAACAACAGTGCATAGAGGAATTTCAACAACACACAATGAAACAGAGAATAACACAACAGTCTAATCCGATCAATTTTCCATACATAAGCTCGTGTACACACTCGCCAGCTCATGTACACGTCTTTCACGTAGTACAATTGTCACGACCCAAAATTCCAACCTTAGAGAGTTGTGATGGCACCTAGTCTCTAAGACTAGGTCAGCCGAACATACATTGAGAATTTAGCAGATATAAGGACTAAGATATTACTTCAAATTGATAAAACACCATAATAAATCCAAAATGGAACAACATTCAAAAAATCCCCAAAATCAGTGGTACAGAGTCATAATGTTACAACCCGCACTTTGGGGTTGTAATTTCGGCCAAGAACTGGTGATAAAAGAGCCTTCTGATGGTCTGACGTAGACCAGTCTACTCGGGCAACTTGGGCTTTTTAATTTTAAGCATATATAAGGGGGGTATAGGTGATGAAAGCTCCGACCTGCCTCCCCCATACGCGCTGCCACCGAGCCGTATATAACGAGCTGCCATGGGGGCGAACCCCAAGGGCCTGCCTAGATGACTCAAGGGAGTGTCAAAGGTATCCACACGAGTTTGGGAACTCGTATGGGCTGCGCAACGCCTTAGGGCCTGCGTTGGGCATCAAAAGGGCAGTGAAGGCTGCTAGTGTGGAACGGCCAGCCCCGCGGGCTGCCGAATGTTGGAAAGAGACCTCCATGCCGATTGGATACTTGATGCACTTGTCATAGGGGCATCATGTGTCGACTTGTGAGCATGGCTTTGGTTCAGCCATGCAAGCAAGGGTCCATTGGCCTAAAGGTGCAGGTGTGGGTGACACTGCACTACTTCAGAATGGAACCGTTCTGCAAGAGGGCTATGTATGGGCATGGCACGAAAGAGGCGCATGACAATGGCCAAGGGCTAAAGGTTGCCTAACTCGGGCAAGGCACGAGCTAGTCGCGGATGCACTAGACGAGTGTAAGCTTGAGAATTGGGTTGTGCACGCGGGAGCGATGCTCAGTCTTGGGCTAAGGACAAGACATGTCCAAAGCCAATCCCCCAGGGCGCACATGGATTGTGATCCTAAGATGAAGCGCCACGACATGTCTAGGGACAAGGGCCTAGGCATCTTACAGGCGGTACAAGTTGGGGCGAGCCTACGGGCGAGTCCCTCCGACAGGCACAGGAGCGTGCTTGGGAAATCCTGGGACAGGAAGAAGGCTGGCCTGCAGCGAGGGGAACTGCAGGCACCGCACGGGAGATCAGGTGCCGCTACCCAATGTAAGGATTTGGGCCCATGACACATAGGCTATACTGAGTTCGCTAGAAATCTCTAAATAAATATTGTTCGGAGTAAAAATAAATAGTAGATGTGTTGAACGCAACAGAAGGTGACTCCGAGGCCTGCGAACGCAATGGCATGTTTACCTTGAAGTCCCCGTAACGAAACACAAGAAGCTAACTAACGTCTGGCATGCTCTGCAGTACCTTGATACGCACAAAAATATACAGAAGTGTAGTATGAGTACACCACAATCGTTACCCAATAAGTATCAAGACTAACCTCGGTGGAGTGTGAAGAGGTACAAGTCAAGACATCTACTAGACATAAAAGCCTGTGCAAAGTATTAATATGAAGCTTACAGAGGAACAAATATCAAACAA